GAAATGAAGAGGAGAAATAATTACGGACGCCACAGAAATAGAAAAGATCCTAAGAAAATACTATGAGCAATTATACGCCAATAAATTAGACAATCTGGAAGAAATGGATACATTACTAGAAACATGCAATCTCCCAAGACTGTGTCAAGAAAAAACAGAAAATCTGAACTGACCACCACCAATGAAATAAAATAAGTAATCAAAAAACCTCCCCAAAACAAAAGTCCTGGACCAGATGGCTTCATAAGTGAATTTTACCAAACATTCAAAGAAGAATTAACACCTGTTCTTTTCAAACTATTCCAAAAAATTCGTGAAGGAGAAGGCTCCCTAACTCCTTTTATGAGGCCACGATTACCTTGACTCCAAAACCAGACAAAGGCATTACAAAAAAAGAAAACTATAGGCCGATACATCTTATGAACATTGATGCAAAAATCCTCAACAAAATACTAGCAAACTAAATTCAGCAATGCCTTAAAAATATCATACACCATGATCAAGTTGGATTTATTCCTAGGTTGTAAGGCTGGTACAATATCCGCAAATCAATTAATATGATACACCACATTAACAAATCAAAAGATAAAAAACATATGATCATATCAACAGATGCAGAAAAAGTGTTCGACAAAATCTAGCATCCATTCATTATAAAAACTATCAGCAAAGTGGGAACAGAGGGAACATACCTCAACATAATAAAGGCCATATATGACAAACCTACAGCTAACATCATATTCAATGGGGAAAGGCTAAAACCGTTTTCCTTAAGATCAGAAATAAGACACCTTTCCCCACTTTCACCACTCCACTTCAACACTGTATTGGAAGTCTTAGCCACAGCAATAAGAAAGAGAAATAAATGGTATGTGAACTGGAAAGGAAGAAGTAAAACTCTTGTTATTTGTTGATGACATATACTATACATAGAGAACCCAAAAGATTCAACCAAAAAACTGTTAGAACTGATCAATGAATTTAGTAAAGTAGCAGGATAGAAAATAAATATTCAGAAGTCAATGGCATTTCTATACACCAAAGATGAACTGTTGGGAAGAGAAATTAAGAAACAATCCCATTTATAATTTCATTGAAAACAATAAAATACCTAGAAATCTAATTAACCAGGAGGTAAAAGATCTGTTCTCAGAAAATTATAAGTCATTGAAAAAAGAAACTGAAGAAGATACAAATAAATGCAAGTATATACTGTGCTCAGAGGTAGGAAAAATCAACATCATTAAAATGGCCATACTACCCAAAGCAATCTATAGATTCGATGCAATCCCTATCAAAATACCAATGTTTCAGAGGCATTTTTCAGAGAGCTAAATCTGAATTTATATGGAACCATAAAAAACCCTGAATAGCCATGATAATCTTGAGAAAGAAGAACAAAGTTGGAGGTATCGCACTACCTGATATCAGACTATACTACAAGGCTACAGTAATCAAACAGCCTGGTACTGGCATAAAAACAGATACATTGATCAATGTAACAGAATAGAGAGCCCAGAAATAAATCCACACCCATACGCTAACTTAATATATGACAAAGGAGGTAAGAATATACAATGGGGTAAAGACCAGCCTCTTCAATAAAAGGTGTTGGGAAAGTTGGACAGAAACATGCAAAAAAAGAAACTGGAACACCTTACACTGTATACGAGAAGAGACTCAAAATAGATTTAAATACTTAAATGTAAGACCCAAAACCATAAAACTTCTAGAAGAAAACATGTAAACTCTCTGGTACTGCTAACAGTAATTTCTTTTCAGCTATATCTCCTTGGGCAAGGGAAATAAAAGAAAAAAATTAAAAAATGGGACTACATCAAACTAAAAAGTTTTCAACAAAAAGACAACCAACTGAATGGGAGAAAATATTCCCTAATGATACATCTGATAAGAGATTAATATCCAAAATATATAAATAACCCATACAACTTGACAACAAAATAACAAACAATCTAATTAAAAAATGGGCAGAAGACCTGAAATTAAAATTAAAACCACAATGAGATATCACCTCACACCTGTCAGAATGGCTATCATCAATAAATCAAAGAACAAGTGTTGGTGAGGAAGTGGAGAAAAGGGAACTCTCAAACACTCTTGGTGGGATTGCAAACTGGTACATCCAGTATGGAAAGCACTCTGGAAGTTTCTCAAAAAATTAAAAATGGATATACCTTTTGACCCAGCAATTGCACTTCTGGGTATTTACCCAAAGAAAAACAAAACAATAGTTTGTAAAGATCTATGCACTCCTATGTTCATGGCAGCACAACTTACAATAGCCAAGATATGGAAGCAACCTAAATGCCCATCAACAGATGATTGGATAAAGAAGTTATGGTTCATATATATAATGGAATATTACTCAGCCATTAAAAAAAAATGAAATCCTACCATTTACAACAACATGGATGGACCTAGAGTTTATTATGCTGAGTAAAATAAGTCAGACAAAGAGAAATATCACATACTTTCACTTATATGCGGAATCTAGGGAACAAAAAGAACAAATTAATCAAAAACAGACTCTCAAAGATAGAGGACAAGCTGCAGACAGCCAGAGGCAAGGGGGGTTGAGGGACTGAATTGGGTGAAGGGTTAAAGTAGTACAAATCAGTGGTTGATAGATGGTCATGGGGATGGGGAGCACGGCATAGGGAATGCAGTTAGCATTAATGTATTGGCTAGGTGGAGGGCCAGGGGAGAGAAAGCAATTAGTGGAATCGTTTTATAAACTATATAAATGTTGCACCAATGTACTATATACTTGAAACAAATAAAATATAAAATAATTTAAAAATTTTCTAGACAAAAAATGTTAGATGGGAATTTTCTTAATTCAATGATAAAGAATAACCTACAGCATACCTGAAATTTAAAGATAAAATACTTAAGAGCTTTCCCACTGCATCAGGAAAACCTGGCATCATCACTTCTATTTAACATTATTCCAAGGTAGAATCAAGTAAGACCAAACAAGGAAATAAAAGTATAGAAGAAAGGAATAAAACTGTTATTCTCAGATGATATAACTGTACATAGAGAAAAATCCAAGAATTTAGATATTAGAGTTAATATTCAATTTAGCACAGTTGCTGAATATATTAAAAAGTGCATTTTCTGTTTAGCCATAACAAATGGAAAATAAATTTAAGAAAGATAATATTAAAATCATGTTTCAATAACTTAGGAATAGATCCTAACAAAAGATGTACAAAATCTTTGCACAAAGAAATCATAAAATACTGAGAGAAATAAAACCTAAATGGAGGGATGTAAAATTTTCATGAATTAGAAGATTCAGTATTATAAAGATGTCAATTTTACTATTCTTTAGATTAAATGCAATCCAAATTAAAAGCCCAACAGGATTGCTGTTTGGTTAGTTTGTAGAAAGTGACAATTTGACTTTAAAATACATACGGAAATGCAAAGTGCCAAAAATAGCCAAGATACTTTTAAAGAAATATAATAGGGAGGACTTATTCTACTAGATATCAAGACTCGTTTATACAGCTACAATATTTACAATATCTCTCTCACACACACACATTCTCTCTCTCTCACACACACACACAGGGACACTAGGGACACTGTAAACTCCCAGCCAGAAACCTATTAGAGCTCAGTCCTATTTGAATTCAGTTCTTTAGAAATGGAAGGACATAGAACAGTTCCAGCACACCCACAGCCAGCTGGGAAAATGAGGCAAGCCGTGGCTGTGCCTGTTTGATACAGACACATAAACACATGAAGGCCCCTGACGTCTAGGAGGCTTCTCAGCTGGGTTCTCAAGGCCTCCAGAGGCATTTCTCTTTTGCACTGCACACGCCTGGGCCTAGCACGTTCTCCTCAGCCCTCTGACTTCCTTGCCTCAGGAGGAAAGGGACTGTGCCTGGCAGCATGGATCGTGGAGGGAACATGGGGTCTTCAAAGGCCTTCTGAGGTGCTGGCCAGGCCTAATAAAATATTAGCCAATCCTCTGCGCCCAGGACCCAGTCTCTGGCTGCCCCAGCCTGGCTGGGCAATGGGCTTGACAGCAGCCAAGGTCCCAGGAGCAGTGTGTTTGCCAGTGGTCCAAAGCCCTGCTGTGGACAAACAGACTGTCCAGGGTAAGAGTGGGGGAGTGGGAGAATGGGCCGCTTGTGTTGGATCAGGTAGGTGAGGATCATGGCTGTGAGGACGGGGTAAGGACGCTAGTCAAATGGGAGAAGGACGGGTGGTAGAATTGGCAGCAAGGGAGTACGGAAACATGGAGGAGGCAGGGAATGGGCTGCCTGGAGGCCGAAGAAGGTGGAAGAGTCCTGGGGTTAGACTTGAAAGCTGAGAGTGGATCAAAAATGGTATGAGGCATTTGGAAAAAGAGTGGGGCTGCTGTGTCATGGGAAGACACAGTGGAGGAAGGAAGGGAGAGAGAGCCCCCTGCCAGGCCCTATGTTGTACTTACATAAGATAGAGTTCCAAATGTCCATCAACAGTAGAATGGATATATCAACTGCAAAATAGTCGTATAATAGAATACTACATAGTAATGAAAATAAGCTTCTATTATAGTTAATAGTTGTATCTAGCAAATGTAAGTAAAAAAAAAAAAAGAATACATGCTATGTAATTTCTTGTATATAAAGTTCAAAAACAGACGAAATTAATATAGTGCTGAGGTCAGACAAGAGGAAGTAGTGTTCAGTGGTGGCAAAATAAGTTTCTGGGCTACTGGCAATGTTCTCTTTCTTGATCTGGGGTGTGCACAGGTGTACAAGTTGTGATAACTCACTAAGTTTGTTTTACAAACTCCTTTGTATGTTTATAATACCTTGATAAAAAATGTTTTCAAAAATTTAAGACACTTGTAATAAAATTGAATCCAAAAAAAGGACCAATCATGTTATACTCCATATTTTTCACATGTGAACTTATCTTGAACTTAGGCTTCTATGACAATGTGATTTTAGCTTTTCTTAATGAAAGGCTTGCAATACCTCTGTTTTGTCTTTACTGGCAGTTAATGTCACATCATTTTCATCCACTTGTGAAATATTCTCCAGTTCTTCAGCATGAAGTGTAATTGATCCTTCACTTAGTTGTGCCTTGGATTGTTCTTTTAAGTCTCCTGTAGGAAATACATAATATTCCATTTATCTATACACTATCTCACGGAAACAATCTGTGAGATAAGGATCACTCAATACAATTGCCAAGGAAGAAATCTTTTTTTCTCCAAATATCAGTCATCTTCAAAATGTGTAGTCACTAGGACAAAGGACCATATCATTGTTAATTTGGCTTAATTCTGCAAAAACTGGACTTTGAAGAAGATTGGATTTTAGTTTTTCTCCTGCAGATACTGACAAAAATCACTCAATATTTTCAATTTTAAACATTTCACACATATACAATAAGCTGAATTTAAAAACCACTTCTTTACAATAAGAGAAACTCAACTAATTACAGATATAGCCTCTTTATTCCAACTCCCCTATTAGTATATAGGCTCTTTGAGACTGAAGCATATCTTATACAATTTTATATAATATGTAGGACTAAGCATTGTATTAGCAAAAAGTTGCTATTGTATCACTGTATGTTAACCAAAAAAGTTTGATTTTAAATATTTATCACAAATATTTATCATACTCACGACTATCCAAATCTTAAAATAAATCTCTAACAAAGTCTACCTAAATAGTATATATAATAGTTATAATTCATCAACTCAAATTATTTAAATAAGACAAAGTTAACTGCCCCTTTGAACAAATTATTTTCATTTACTTTGGTTTTTACAAATGTATTTTGGTAGATTCTGTCTGACTTGTTTCCACTTCAGATTGAAAAGGCAATCTGGGGTTATATAAAAATCAAATCTGTAATACTGCAAAAATTCTAAGTGATTTGTTTATACATTTTCACTCATAAAGAACAGAATCACACAACTACTTAATTTATAGGTTTAAAATAAAAAAAAGGGTTACTAAACTCTTTTATGTAATCCATTACCTGAAAATAGATCATGGTTAAGATGAGCCATTTCTTTTTCCAAATTACTTCTTGATAAATCAGATTTTCTTATTAAAGCAACAGGTTCTCTCTTCTCTGGTGATCTAATAAAATAACCAAATGATGGCTACAAAATAAACATGTAAATTATTTCCTTAAGTTTTAACAGCTTTAAAAAATTCTATACTATTTTATGTTAATATTGGTAACCTAGCTAAATGATTTCAACGAAATAATTTTTTTTCCATTGAAACTTAAATTATTAGAGATGAACAGTTATTAAACCAATAAGATGGTTTATATTTCAAAATATGTTTTTACACAACAGGTTAAAAAAATGAATCTTTAAATTCTTCCCACTAACCAATTACATAACAAAATTAGTTAAGAGGTACTGAATAATTACTGCATGTTAAGTTTAGTGCTAAATGCTTTATATGCACCATCCCATTTAATTCCTATGAAACCCTATAAAATAGCATTCCATTTTAGAAGGCATGGAAGAGTTAAGTCAATTGTTCCATGTCACAGAAATAGTTAAAAGGCAGAACTAGGACTGGAGTCAGGGTCTGACATACTAGTAAATCTAAGCTTTTCACCACTATTCTACTGTGTCCCTATTCTGTCTCTGCTTTAAAGATACTATGCTCTAGCTATGCCATCATAATATTCAAAATATAAGGGCTGGTCAATTTAACCACTCCTAGCACATACCATACTTACTCTTTTCACATTGTAACCACCACCGAGGCAACCAAGAGCTTCAGATCTTTGAGCAAAGAACTCTCCTAAAGATAGACGTAAATAACTGGCATCATCTTTGTCCAGATCTGATGTGCTAAGTGACTTCCTCAACAAATTGTAATTAATTGAAGTTCCCCAAGATGTATCCCCTAGTGCAAGTGAAGTGTTCTGTGCATCTATATTTTCTTCCTAGGAAAAAAGTTATTGTTTCATTTTATTTCCCCAACAAGCCTTCTTTTTGTTCTTTTCATATGCAAAAATAAATTTATCTAAGAAAATTTAAACATTTTAAATTTTTAAATTGGACAAATTCATGCTTAAGGAGCTCACACAGATAATGAAGTCCAGAAGAAGAAAAATTCATTTTTCATACTTGAGTTGTAATATGCATTGTTTTAATATATTGCTGAATCAAACACTGACTTTCATTAATACAAATCTTTACAAAGGAGTACATCTTCAATAAAAACAAATAGCATTACCTCATTTCAAAACATGGTTAAAAACTAGGAAAATATCTTTAACAATTATTAAGGTGATTTTAAGCAAATTAAGCATTTTAGTATGCCAGTTATTTTTCAATTAATTCAGAGTGTGAAGGAAAAAATAGAAATTATCTAAATGTGAGAAACAAGATATAATTCTATACTAACTTTATATATAGTCAGAAAGAAATGAAAAATTTGCCTACATTGAAATACATACAGAAAAATGTTTAAACTTTGGTTAATGCCAATAAAATACAAACCTGCATAAATTGGTGCTCTTTGTTAAATTCTTCTTCATCTTGTGCAATCAAATCCAATGCCTCAGCTTAAAAAAAGAACAGGTTTGTAAAATTATACTAATGTTTACTAAATACTAGCATATACATAAAACTAAAAGCCTAATGAGGACAATGAAATACTAAAGAAATAAAAAATTTTAAAGTCCGTGAAAGCTTCTATCACATGACTGACACATCTGTATTAAGTACATAAGTCTGTGGTTCTCAAACTTTGGGTAATGAACACCGTACTGTGACTGATTTCATCAGTTATTAATGTGCCCTAACTTACTAAATAGGCTTTACAATGTAAGCTTTTTGTTTTTAAAAGATTCACATTCATTTCAGCTTTGAAGATCTGGCATATATGAGTTAATAAGGTACTCTTGCCCATGAAAACAGGTGGGATTTCATCAGGAACCATCAGACTGACAAGACATTCAATAAACTCGTCATGAAGATGTCTGCTGGGGTGCCCAACCACCTGTTTGCCCAGGACTGTCCCAGTTTTTGAAAGTAAAAGTCTGACATCCCAGCAAACCCCACAGCCTAGGAAAACAGGGACAAGTGGTCATCCAGTTGTCTGTCTTTAAAGGTCTTATAAGCACCTCAGTTCACCTCAGGGAAATGAATGGGTCCAGATACCTTCAACCTCTAAGCCAAGGCCACAAATTAAAATGCCTCAGAGGCTAATGGCCAATGAGCAAAGAGGGCCAGGTGTAACACTAGAGGGAGGGGTGAGACAGTAGCAAACTAAAAAGCATATGGTCTTGTTCAAGGCATTAAAATTAACAAGAATTTTAAACATGTTGGCTAACTCAGAAAAGTCTGCAGGCTAGACTCAAGATTGTCTGTCTGTTGCCCACTCTGGGCCTCTACCTGGTACTTCAAGATAGTAGCAGAAATTGGAAGAGTGAATAGCAACCCAGAAGGGACAGTACACTTGTAGACCAAATACAAGAGCTATCTCCTACTCTCATTAGTCCATCAAAGGCTAATCAGATCCAAACTGCCCTTTAGGAAACCCTCACAGTCCAAACATTAACATCTTGAGACAAAATGAGAATAGATACAGGAGCATATTTCCAGTTAGGAAAAGTAGAGCACCAAAAAGAGAGTTCTGGATTGTTACTTGTAAGGATAGTGCTGGTTCTTTACCCTGGGAACACATCATTTCTTACATAAACACATTCTAACCTAGAAATCTATGAGTGAACACCAGGAGAACCATGAAGCTCCCGAAATCACATGCAAAATATTATCTTCCACACAAAGTTTTCTATGAAGATTCTCTATGGGGGTCCCATAACTCAAAGTAAGTTATAAAACCACTGCCCCAAAATGTGAAAGTATCAACCAGCCATATCTAGCAGCCAAGAGAAGAGAAGCAGGAAATTAGCCTATAAGAAGGTAACCCGGAAAACCTAATTTACTTCAATGAGTTAAATATTACATTTTTAAATTCTTACATAAATAGCTCCAAATGTCACATTATATTCCTAAGTACTTTTTCTGTGAACTTTAAGAGATTCTTCAGATAAAAATCTATAGTAACTTTGTATGTTCATCAGAAATAAGTCATAAATTATGAGAAAGCAGAACTTCATTTTTATGAGCCTATGCCCAATTAATTTGCCAAATCCAATAGTCCTTTCAAATGTCACCTGAATGTTTTAGTTGTTAAATTTTGAAACAGCCCTTATGTCCCACTCCCCTTTTCTCCAGCCTCTGCCCAGTGTTTAAATTCTAGGCTATTGGCGGAATTAAAGTACCACAGATATATGGAACTTTCAGAGAGGGCAGAAATGGGGAAGAGAAGTAGTATCTAGTAAGGTTTCTGAATAAAGTTTAAGTAGGTTAAGTTTTCATTTAAAATTATTTTGACACTAAAAAATTATGTCCTTGGTCCAATCTTATTCTGAATATCTTCTCTTACATTTTCAAAATTCCCTTTCCACTTCCTATAAAAAGGCTCCCATTTCATTCATGCTCCCCCAGTCCTAATGTCCCTTGATCTAATTCATCCTTAATAGTTTTCCATAATCATTTTCTCCATTTCCTTACCACCCATGCTATCCTTCCATGAAGATGGTTTCATTAAAGTCCTCCATTATCTATTTATTTTTCCTTTAATAGTAATATGTCCACATAATACAAAATTCAAAAGGTATATACATGTATATCATGCTTCAATAAAGACTTTTTAGAAGTTAACCAAATAACATAAAAGGAAATACAAAACTGAAAAGTCTCTCCCACATCCCTAACCCCACTTACCACACCTCCAGAAGCAATCAGTGTATAAAGTATCCCGGAAATCCCTCACTATTTGAATCTATTTGATTTCTGAGTTCAAGTAGCTAGGGATTCCTGTAATCCATTTCTTCTTTTTTAAAATCTTTCCAAGGTAAGCATTTACAAATACATGTGTCCTTCCCTCTCCTATCTTTTTATACAAATGTTAGAATATTTTATATGCTTTTCTATGTCTTGGATTTTAAATTATTTATTCTGGTGATCATTCCATATCAGTACCTAAATGAGCTCCTTTACCTTTTTTTATAGCCACGGGGAATTTCCTTGTATGAATGTACCTTACTTAATCGGTCCTCTATTTTGTATATTTACATTGCTTCCATCCTTTTGTTATTATAAACAATATGCAAGCAATAACACTGCACATACATCACATACCATTCATGCAAGTCTATCTGAAGAATAAATTCCCAGGAGAATGACCTGGTTACAGGGTATGTGCATTTGTAATTTTGCTAGATGCTGCAATACTGCTGCACCTAGAGGCTGTGCCTATAATGCACCAGAATATCTATTTACCTCACACTCTTACCTAAATAGTTTTATTACCAAACTTTTAGATAACTGCTAATGAAATAACTAAAAAATAGGGTGGTTTTACTATGCATTTCTTTCCATAAGTAAGAATGAACCTTTTTCTGCATATTTAACAACCATTTTTATTTTTTTCTATAAATTGTCTGTTTACATACTGTGCCCAATTCTATACTGAGTAGTTGGTCTTGTTTATGAGGACCATTTACATATTAGGGAAATGGGCCCTTCATCTGTAATATAAATTGGAAATATTTTTTCTCAATTTGAAGACTAATTTTTAAAATCTTTTTACCAAAGCGTAATATACTTATAAGAAGTATATATAAGTATAAAACTCAATGAATTTTCACAATCTGAACAAATGTGTGTAGTCACATCAACACCCCAGATCAAGAAACAGAAGACTGCCAGCACCCAAAAGGCCTCTCGAGCTTCCTCCCTGTCTTTCCCATCACAACATGCCCACCAAAGAGTAACTGCTACCCTTGTTTCTTACTCCATAGAACAGGGTATGTTTGAACTGTATAAGAACAGAATTTGATAGTATGTTATTCTTAGTAAGCCTTATTTCATTCAATATATTTGCAGAATTCACTCATGCAGCTACAAGTGGCTATACATCATTCTTATTGCTACATAGCATTCGAATATATGAGTAAACACAATCGATCCCATTGTTAATAAGAATTTTGTGTCTACGGTCATGCTACCCTGAACAAGCTGGATCCTGTTTGATCTCAGAAGCTAAGCAGGGTTGGGCCTGGTTAGTACTTGGATGGGAGACCACCTGGTGAGATCGGGTGCTGTAGGCATAAAAAATAAGGGATGGTAAGCTGACAAGGTCTTTATAATATGTGAGGTCAACCAAGGGTTGCCTCGCCTAAAAAAAAAAAAAAATTTTTTTGGAGGTTCTAGTTTGGGGCTATTACATATAGTGCTGCTATAAACATTTTAGTATATGTCACTTGGTGAACATATATACCCCATAAAGTGGGTATACTTGGTCAGAAAGGTTCACCTTAATAAGATACTGCCAAACAAATTTCCAAAATGGTGGATCAATTTACACTTACACCAGCAACACATGAGAATTCCATCATCATTGACTTTTTAGGTGACAATGTCAGTATCTACTGTCCAGTCTATACCCTTTTTGTCCTTTCTAAATCAAGATATCATTGAGCAAGTTCTAACTGTAACTTAACTTCTAATTTGACTCATATTTCCAACTACTGAGTATCTTAACCTCAAACCATAATCATCCAAAATTCTACAATTTCTTCTGATTTTCCTCATCTCAGTTAATGGTACTGGCATTTTCTCAAATAACTCGGACCACAAACCTCAATCTTTCCTTTCTACCATCTCCTGAAATCCAGTCATGAAATCCTAACCATTGTAATTCCATATCTTTTGTGAGCTACTTTATTTTCATTCCCACTGTGACATCTAGATTTCTACATCATCCTAAGGAATCTTCTTTTTAACTGATCATTGCTGCCAGGAGACATGCAAAACAAGTTGGACAAGCATGTCTTCAGTGGTTCTCTACTGCTTACTAAACAGGTCTCAACTCTTTGGCAGGGTAGTCAAAACTCTATCCACTCCCAGGCCCTACTGTACCTCTCCAACTTCATCTCTTAATCTCATACTGCTCTTCCCCACTTCCCACATCTTGCCATAAATGCCGGCCACATTAAACTATTAACCATTTTCAAAACATGCCCATGCTTTCTCATCTCATCCTCCTTCACTGGGTTTTCCACCCATTTGGAATTTCTCATGCCCCAAAATATTTACCTATTAAAACTCTACCTCAAAAGCTTATTTGAAATCCTTCTGCTATCCACTCAGGCAAAAATTATTTCTCCTCTAAACTCCAAAGCACTTGGTTTGTGTTTCTTATGATGCTACCTATTGTTTTATATTCCTGTCTTATCCCTCTTAGCTAATAGAAAATTTCTTAAGGACTGAAAAAATGCCCTATTTATCTCTGTATTTCCACATCATTAGGCATTTTAAAAGAGTTTAGTACAAGCAACAGAATAACTTCTTCTAGCACCTTTTTTTACTAAAAACAAACTGGGCTTGACAGTCCACTGCATGCTTTCCTCATCCCAGGTTTAGAGGTTCTCAGAGACCAGAGGTTTCAGCAGCACAGCAACATCTCCATAGACTAAGACAAAATGCCGTGCATTCTACAGCCCTACTCCAGTTTTGCTTTCACTGTAAGAGATTCTGCTAATGAACATACCTAAATGATGTTCCTAATGTGCTCATTCTTTGAGATTTAATTTATCTCTTTCATCACTTTTCTGCCATCATTTTGACATTTTTTAGCTTTTACTCCAAAATGAATTGGCTTTTGTAACTGCTCATTTATCAGAAATATTTTTGTTCAAGACAGATTTTACAAAGAGAAAGTAAAGCCTAAGGGAAAATAAAGCCCATTTCTGCAATATAAAGGTTGAAGTTAAAGAGTGTTGGTCTGACCCACTGTCCTTGCATAAGGAAAAGGCTCAGTTCACTCTGCAATGATTAACACTGACTAATTCAAGCCTTTGTTGCTATAAAAACAAGTGAAGAGCTAAGTGTTATATATTCTAGAAGGAATTTGACGTGGCCAAGCAATATACACAGAGTAATCTCAGAAGAACATCAGAAACAGTGAAAGTGGTATAATAAAGTAGTTTATACACTTACAACCAGATCTGAAATCTTCATTCATCTCATCAGTTAGAGACATATTTAAATCTTGTTCTTCATTAAAAGATGTATAATAGGCAAGGTCAGTGACCCACCTACCTTCTTCATTTTGATAGACCACACTCTGTGGTAGATCAGTTTCTAAAAAATAAAATAAATGACACATGACAATTTTATTTAGTTGACTTATCTTAGTTATCAACAGTACTGAAATCTGCCCAAAACTAGTTAGAAAAATGAAAATCTATTTCTCAAAGAAAAGCATCTCTCTGATGGTGGATAAGCCAACTTTAATTATAGTAAAAGTCTATAATGGAGAATGAGAGAAAAAAAAAAGATTTAGAAAAGTATTTTTCCACCAGATCTGTGACTAAATATAGCATTTTAAAATTCATAAAGCACTTAAATATTTTACTATGAAAGATTAGGCAAATTCCACCTAGCGATATACTTTATTTAAAATGTACGCCCCATTTATTTCTTTACTTTCATTAAAAAAAAAAAAAAAAAAGCCCACTTACGGTCTTTACTCTTTTCAATGTACTCATAACGTTCACATGTTCGCCTTTCACTAGTTGGTGACCGAAGAGTATCAGTGGAATTAATTTCATTGTCACTAATGGATTTCAAAGATGCTATGTTCGTATTTTTTTGATTGGATACTTTAGGAGTCTCAATATCTAAACATCTATTCTTGGGCAAAACTATTTCTGAATCTGATGCTAAAAGCTTATTTTGATGAGGAGACCCTGCCTCCAGCTTTAAAGGGTCTGTCAAGTCAAAATCACTTTTACTGGCATTTTTGTCATGAAAATAATCAGGATTAAATTTTGCATGAGTAGCTGTGATAGTCTTCACCAGAACATCTTCTCTTGTGCATTCCTTTAAAAACCAATAAGAGAGCAACAGTAAGTTTTGTTTTTCACAACTCATTCCAAAATTTTATGGGAAAAAATTATGTAGTTGACATAAAATGTTCATTATATAAAAGAACAGACTATACAGTATACACTATAGTCTTCCAGACTATGTAAGAATCAATGTTGAGCAATTTACAAAAGCCAAAATTCATAATGTGGTCATGGCAAACATACATCAACAGATTTCAGGTCCCAACACGTTTATTACATTACAGGATGTTAGAAACGTCAATTTAACTTTTATAATTAGCACTAAAAGTCTAAAAGATAGTAAGCCCATTACTGTGACCAAACTCATAAAATTAATATGAACAGTAGCCCTTGAAAACACAGATATTTCAATATGAGCAAAAAAGCAAATACTCCAAATGTCTAGGACTCTAATGACAATTGCATCAGACATAGTAAATTAAGTCAGTGCCTCAAACCAAGCCCTCCAACATACTTTCCCAAATGCACTTTTTATTCGTTCCTAGATAACTGCAGAAAATGGGCTCAAGTGCTCATTGAACTTTTTAGACATTCAGCTATGAATAAAGTGCCAATAGAGCCTGTTAACAGCAGTCTTCTCTGTTATAAAATTTATGATAAAACCATCCTCATAAGCAAAGTTTTTAAAGTTAGAGTACTAAAAGGAGGTAGTTCTATATAACAGAAAAGATGCTGACTTTGAAATAAAGTCACAAGTTTAATTCCTAGCACCACTGTTTATTAACTGGGTTATTTTGTTATATAAAAAATAAACTTACATCTCTACCTTTTATCAAAATAAATTCCAGATGGCTTAAAGATTTAGGTGTAAAAGTACTAGGATAAAATACAGATGAATAGATTTGTATTCTTCAGGAGATAACATCTTCTAAGTGTTAACACTGTCCTGAGTTAAACCGTGCCTCCCAAAAAAAGATATGCCTGAGTGTTAATCCTAGTTATCTGCAAATGGTGACCTTTTTCAGAAATGGTCTTTGCAGATGTAATTAAGTAAAGGGTCTTGAGATGAAATCATTGAGAATTTAGGATGGGCCTTAAACCCAATGAGCAGTATACAGCTGAACAACACAAGTTTGAACTGCGCAGGTCCACTTATATGTGGATTTTTTTCAAAAATATACCATCGGGATTCCATAGCACTAGGTTTCATATCCATAGATTCAACTAGCCACAGATCAAAACAGTATTTTTGACCTGTGGTTGTGAACTCATAGATGCAAAGGGCCAACTGTATAAATTGCTCTGTACCATTTTATACAAGGGACTTGAGCATCCATGGATTTGGGTTATCTGTGCAGGTCCTGGAATCAATTGCTTGCAGATACCAATGAACATAGTGAAGTTTTGGGGGAGTCAAAAGTGATACAAGGATTTTCAACGCATGGGGGGTTGGCACCCTAACCCCTGCATTGTTCAAGGGTCAACTTATAAGAGAAAGGAGAAGAACACTTCAGAGGGACAAAGAGACACAGAGGGAAAGACCATGTGAAGACAAAGGAAGACATTGGCGTACTGCTGCCACAAGTTAAAAAACACCAGGTCAACACCTTGATTTCAGACTTTTGGCCTCTAAAACTATGAGAGAATAAATTTCTGTTGTTTTAAGCTAGCAAAACTTTGGTGATTTGTCCTGCATCCCTGTAAAACTGATACAAACACTAAAGCCTAAAATGCACAAGGATCACCAGAGAGAAGACCATATGAAAACACGAGAAGATGGCCACTTATAAGTCAACAAAAGAAGTTTACGGAGAAATCAACCCTGCTGAAATCTTCATCATGGACTTCTCCAGAATTAAGAAAATTAATTTCTGTTGTTTGAGCCAAATAAATAAATGCATGAGGATCAAAATATCTCCTTAATGTAGAAAGCTTATAAAAACAATTTAAAGTATGACTATCCCAATTTAAAAAAGACAAAGGAGACTAAAAAATATCATTGAAAACTAGGTAACTATTTTCATACATACTAACATAGATTAAAAAGAACCAGAATGTGGGAAACTAGCTCTCTCCTCCGTAAAGTGACTTACACCATCTTGAATAAAGAATGCAATCAGGACCTTCAGCATTGCCCCAGTGGAGCAGAGACCAACTCTGGGTGGAGTATGTGTTAACATATTAACTTACTATTACCTAGGAAATGCTGACAAGGATGTCTTCAACAAAAGATATAGGTTTGGCATGGTCAAAATAGATCTGAGAATCAAATCATGTAGTGGACTGGAATTTTATGCTTCTGGTCATGCTTATACTGATACAGGGAAAACATCAGGCAACCCAGAGACCAAATACAAGGTCTGTAATTATGGACTTACCTTCCTCCGCCAAAATGGAACATAGATAATATTCTTGGAACAGAAATCTCTTTGGAGAATAAGTTGGCTAAGGGTTGAAACTAACTCTTGATATAGTATTTGACTGAACTCAGGAAAGAAGAGTGGGAAATTGAAGGCCTTCTATAAACAGGATCATTTCAGTTTTGGCAGTAATGTTGATATAGATTTTTCTGGACCAACCATCTTTGGCTGGGCTATGTTAGCATTTGAAGTATGGCTTTGCTGGCTATAAGATGAGTTTTGACATAGCCATATTCAAAATGTCACCGAATAATTATGAGGCTGCAGACTTCCAGCTGCACACTCATATGAACAATGGCACTGGATGTGGAGGGTATACATATCAAAAGATTGAGAATACTGAAACGTCAACAAACCTTGTTTGGATAGCTGGACAACATCCATTTTGCTATCACTGCTAAATACAAACTGGCTTGCAGGACTTCTCTATCTGATAAAGTAAATAATGCCAGCCTGATTAGACTGGGTAATGCTCAGACCCTTCAAACAGGAGTAAAACTGACCCTATGAGCTTTAGTCAATGGAAAGAACTTCAGTGCAAGAGATCACAAAGTTGCGTTAAAATTTGAACTAGAAGCTTAATGTGGTTTCGAATAAAGCATCAGATTTGTCCCTGAAGGTGAAGCGAAATGAACCCATTATGTTTTTGCCTTAAAATTCTCTGAAATTTCAAAAGTGTAAACTTTTTATTCTTCCAAAGAATTGTAATCTTCCCCACACTGAAGTCTAAAGATCGCAAGTCCACCCTAAGGGAGGTGCTTAAAGGCATTCCAGGAAGCTGTCATATTTGTGCCACGTTTCAGTTCTGCAGTTCTATTTTAAATGTGTTCTTCAGTGACGATGTAGTGTGTCAAGTTATAAAGGAGATGACCTGATCCTCCAGTTTGTACATCACGTCCTGCATGTCTCACACCACTTTTTCATAACCTTTTAATATATTGGTATCTGTGCTGTAGTGGAATCTTTGGTTTTGCATCAGAGTAAAATAAAATAAATCCATCACATTTGAATATACTTTAAAATGCAGTCAGGTGATGACAGTCTAAGAAATCATAAAATTCTTTAACGAAGTGCATTTGAACCCTTTAAGTGATTAAGTGACGAGCCAATGGGGTGAAACTACCACCTATGGGATTATGACCACACACATCTAAATCAGCATCCCACTTGAGGGTGGTGGACTGGGAGAAAAAAAGAAGCTGCCTCTCGCAGATGCAGGAGTTCCCTGCAGGAGGAGGGGGAAGGGAGAAAGTGCAGCGAGTTCCCTGAACAGCCCTGCCTGGGTGTGCTGTGAGCTCCACACAAAAGGCGGCAATGCCCACTCATCAGGGCACAAAGCAGAAAAGTGGAGATGGCAGAGAAAAAACAGTTGATTATTACCATCCGCGGTCACAAAACACGAGGCTGTGCTGCAGCCCTCATACCCCAACCTGGTGGGCCTCTCCCCCATATCCTCTAAGACTAAATACAGCGGACACCAGAGAAATATGAGCAAACACTACCAAAACTGTCGCTAACACTGACAGGGCTGAGACCGGGGGAAGCAAGTGTGATTAAATATCACTAAGAAAAAAAAAGGCATGATTAAGATGTTATATAAAGCAGGGATCCAAGAGGCTTAGACGCCACCTACTGGAAACCAAAAGAAAAGCACCTTCTTTGCAGCAGGCTACAGAGAAACCTATATATAATAAATCTTTCTGGAAAAAAAACTGAACACATTTCCATTAATTCTCAGGTGAAAAAATAGTCCATTAAACACCATGAACAACCAGAGTGACAAAGCATCTCAGAAAGAGAAAAATCTCCAGAAAATAAGCTTACAAACATAGAAATATGTGGCTTAAATGACAGAGAATTCAGGATGGTACTTCTGAAAAAACTCAGTAAGTTCCTAAATGAGTCATATCAACAATTTCAGGAATTGACAAAACAGCTAGATGAGCACAGAAAAGAGACTGAAACCAACCCTCAAAAAGAACTGATAGAACTTCTGGAGCTACAGAAAACACTGCAAAAGCTGAAAAATGAAATAACAAGCTTGGGATATAGAGTCGACCAAATGGAGGAAAAGATCAGTGATATCAAAGACAAAAATCTAGAAATAAATCAGAAGGAAGAAGAAAGAAAATAAAGAATGAAAAATAATGAAAGAGAAATACAAGTAGCTGATACCATCAGGAGGGAAAACATAAGAATAATGCGCATTATCGAAGGTGAGGAAAAGGAGCAGGGATTAGAAAGCATTTTCAGACAAATAGTGGATGAGAATTTCTAAGGAATGATCTGGACCTTGGAATTCAAGAAGTCAACAGAACACTCAATTATCTCAACCCAAAGAAGCCTTCACCAAGACACATTGTATTAAAATCATCAAAAATCATCAACAAAAATAGAATTCTTAGGGTAGCCAGGGAGAAGAAAACAGTAACTTATAAGGGAAAATCCATTAGATTATCATCGGACTTCTCAGCTCAGACCTTACAAGCTAGAAAGGAATGGAATCAAATATTTAAACTATTAAATGAAAGGAATGACCAGCACAGAATAATGTATCCAGCTAAGCTCTCCTTTCGATATAAAGGAGAAATTAAGACCTTTCCAGACATAT